CCTCCCTCCTCCTCTAATTAAGATGTCAACCTTCTGCCTCATACCCTCCCATCTTGGACACCTGGCATTGCAGGGGTCTCCACGGAGACCGCTAACCTCCTCCTGTGCCTCCCGAGCTTCTCCATCCTGAAGACATAAACTGAGGTTCAGGCAGGTGAATGTCCACTTTCTCAACACCGCTTTCCTTTCCTCTCTTTCCTTCTTCAACACCGCTTTCCTTTCCTCTCTCCTTTTCCTTCTTCTGCCCTCTGCCTTCTACCTCCTTCTTTCCCCCCCCCCTCTTTCTCTCCCCCTCTGCGTCCTGCATGCTTTGAGATGAAAGGGCCAATTAATCTTGCTGCCACTACCTCTGTCCGTTAAGCTGTGTACCGGTCCACAGGCATAGGCATTCCTACCACGACTGCCTGAGCAGTCCCTGAAAACCATGGCTAATTGGTAAAAGATCGCATTTGTTTTTCCATAGCCTGAACACTTCAAAGGAGGCTCTGCCAAAGCCAAGGCAAGGTTGCCACCTCGATGCATCAATCACTAGGGAGACAGCTGAAGTTACCTGTCACCCAGAGGGTGACGTTCACACCTGCTGTTTCTACCTTGGCATGTGGTCTTGGATGATGAACATCACTGGTCCCAATCACATTCACACTCTCCAGCACCACAAACAGCAGAGCGTTAGAGAGCATTTGATTAATGTGCTGCAGGCTTACTTTATTTATGCAATTTTACCCAAATATCTTATGTAAAGAGATATTATGCAGATCTCTTATTCTGAGGGAGTATGTTTTGTACATGCATCTTTCATTCACCTTCCAGAAAAGTTAACTATCAATGAGATTTTTACATGTTAAGTCACATTTTAAATCGAACATAGGCAAGGCTTGCAAATTAATGTGCAGCAAATCTCTGAACCTCTGTTTCCTCATAAGAAAAATGGGTTTAATAATTTCCCCAGCTAGCTTACAGGGCTGTTGAGAGGCTTGTGGAATAAAATTTTAATTTTGTAGATGTACTTTGTAAGCTGCAAAGCAGTATATTACATCAAAGTAATGTTATTGTTAAAGTGAAGATGCAGTTGGCCAAGTAAATTATCACCTCCAAATAGAAATTCTGTGATAATCCAATTTTCATGTATTGGGCTGGCTAAGACGAAGATTACACTTGTATGTTTTTTGAATCCAGGCAGGCAGGGATGGTGTCTCACTAAACTTTCTGAGACTTGGTGAGCATTTTGTGGTTGCCTCTGGCTATGACTTGGTATTGACAGTAAAGAGCATCCTGTCTGAGGATGTCTATTAAAATCTTAATTTCAGGGCACCAGGCAAAGCCTTCAGTCAGGGCAGGATCTTCAAGTGAACATCTCCTGCCATTGCCTACCTGCCTGCACCTGCCCTTCAGGGAGAATGGGAGTCATTAAAGGAAACTGAACATTGGAAAAAAAAAAAAAGGTAACCCTGAGACCCCAGTCTATCTTCACCCTGATCAATCTGAAATAAGGGCACGAGAATGAAGGAAACCCACCCCCACTGCCTCCTTAGGTGTGGCCCTTGCATCTTGGAATGTTCTCTGTCCCAGACACTTGGGGAGTTGTAGGGCCAGACAGACATGTGTAGGGTTTCCCATCCAAGGGAGAAGCTGCTTACTGCACAGAGTTCTTCTCTTTGCACACAACATTTTTTTTGTCTTTTTCGGTACGCGGGCCTCTCACTGTTGTGGCCTCTCCCGTTGCGGAGCACAGGCTCCAGACGCGCAGGCTCAGCGGCCATGGCTCACGGGCCCAGCCGCTCCGCGGCATGTGGGATCTTCCCGGACCGGGGCACGAACCCGTGTCCCCTGCATCAGCAGGCGGACTCTCAACCACTGCGCCACCAGGGAAGCCCTGTACACAACATTTTGAAGCAAAATGGAATGATCGCCACTGGGAAGGGAATTCATTTTATTTAGATAACCTCAGGAAATAGCAAGATTTGTGGCACATATTTCTGGGAAAGTGCTCACAAGCAATCAGATGCCTGTCTGTGTTCCTGACCCCTTGGGATCGCCTGCAGGTACATTCATAGCTTGACTATGAGAACATATGATAAGGGCGATGGAGAGTGTGGCTTATAAATCATTTTCTGGCACTGTTTGTGGAGGATGAGACTATAGTTGGGGTGGGTGGTGGCGGGATGCAAGATCAATGGGAAATGTGTCCTCAGCAGACATTTCAAAGACCTTGGAATGTAGCTTTTCCTCTCAGATAAAGACCAGTATCAATTCATCATTGATACACTTTTACTCAGTGTCCCTTTACTCAGTGTCCCATCATGTTAGGCGATATGGAGGAGACCCCCAAATATTTCCAACATAGACCGGGAGCTCTCATTTTACTTAGAAAGATTAGGCGTTCTTGTGGATAAAGATAAGAGCCCAGAAAAGAGACAGGAGGAGAAAGAAGCTAACACTGTCCAGTCTCCTGCTGGGACTGAGGCGCTTATGTTATCCCATCGGATCATCAGCGACACCACAAGGTAACATCTTCATCCCATTTTATGGATGAGAATACTGAGATCAGAGAGGTTTGATGACTTGCTCCAGGTGCCACAGCTGGTTAGTGGCAATAAAGTGTCCATTCTTAGTCTGCTTAATTCTGATGGGGCCAGAATTGAAGGGAAGTTTTCAAATTGCCTTATATATTGATTTTGTCAGAGATAATCACCAATTTTAGAAAAACAAAATAACATTTGGCTGTGCTTCCTCTTACTCCGTTCACTTAGGAGCGGGGTGCCGAGGAACTACTAGCTCTAGATCTGAAGCTTTAATGTCCTTTTCTGTTGATAAACCATATTCCTAAATAAATCATTGTTTTTGTCCGTTTGTGTTTCCAAGGCCAGATCTCTGTCTCTTTCCTGGCTGAATACTCCCTTCCCCCACCAACATCTTCCCACGTGCCTTTAGCTTCTCTTTTCTCTCTCTCCTTCCCTACCCTCACACACACAGAAATTCAGGCACACACCTTCCCACCACACACCCCTATGCAAAATAAAATTAGAAATACCCCCCAACTCTCAAGATATTTAGGGAATGGAGACTTTCAATCAATAGAGCCAAATGCTCCATTCCCTCCCTCCCAAGCCAGGGTGAGAGGCAGACTGAGCTTGTGAAAAGGGTCCAGACAGCCATGATTTTGACACCAAGAAGCTCTAAAGGAACAAAAAGCCACCTGTGCTGTCCTCTATCTGCCCTGTGGCCACTGGATCTCACAGGGCTACCAGATTCTCAGAGCCAACACCTGGCAAGCTGTTCTTTTGTTTGTATGTAAAATCCTTTCAGAACATGAAAAGGTTTCCTGGTCCCCTCTTTTATTTTATGTTTTTATTTTTTTCTGGGACGTGGGCCTCTCACTGTTGTGGCCTCTCCCGTTGCGGAGCACAGGCTCCGGACACACAGGCTCAGCGGCCATGGCTCACGGGCCCAGCAGCTCCGCGGCATGTGGGATCTTCCCGGACCGGGGCACGAACCCGCGTCCCCTGCATCGGCAGGCGGACTCTCAGCCACTGCACCACCAGGGAAGCCCCCCCCCCCTTTTATTTTGATGCACACTGTCAAAATCCAGAGAAAACAGTATGTGATGTTTCAAAACTACACGCTGAGCTGATAAGCATATTGTCCTCGTTTTAAGGGATTGTTCTTGTTTTAATCAACCCGTAGGCGGCCTCTCAGCCACTGCACCACCAGGGAAGCCCCCCCCCCCTTTTATTTTGATGCACACTGTCAAAATCCAGAGAAAACAGTATGTGATGTTTCAAAACTACACGCTGAGCTGATAAGCATATTGTCCTCGTTTTAAGGGATTGTTCTTGTTTTAATCAACCCGTTGAGGAAGCAATAAATAATCATTTATTTATGACGTTTGCCTTCACCCAGAGGAGTGGAACAGGGTAGGTAGGTGAGCTCCGACAGCCCAAGAAACCGAGGTAGTGGTGGTGTCAATATTCCTGCAGTGGTTCAAAGCTGTCTCTGCTCCCTCCAACCTCCATTTGACACACACTGGCCAACTGTCCCCACCCTCTTGGTACCCACCTCAGACTAGTGGGATCAGAAAAAGAAAGGAAATAGGAACAGGGAGGTGAGGGCAGCACTCCAGGCAGAAGCTCCTGGTTCAAGCCGTTCAAGCTCTGTGTCTGGATGAACCACTCAGTTGTCCTCCCTTCTCCCAAATCAGAGCTCCCCCTGGGTCTCAGGGTGATGCTGCGTTGTGTAGAGGCTGAGAGCAGGTCCATTAGTTCAAATCCAGGCTCTGTCACTTACCCGCTCTATGTCCTTGGGCATGTGACTTAGCTTCTCTGTGCATCAATCTCATCCATACAAGGGGATCATGGAGCTTCTGCTGAGAGGATTAACAAAGCTGCCTTATGCTAAAGGCTTATTAGCACAGTGCCTGGTTCATAGTAAGGACCCAATAAATAGAGTCAATGATTATAAAATGCTCAAATAGTGCTCACAATAGGTAGGCCCTGTTTAAGGGCTTTACATAAATTGTTGTCATATGACCCTCACATCTCTGTTTTACAGATGGGGAACCTGGAATCTGAAGATCACACGGTAGTGAATGATGAATATTCAGACCCGGGCAGACCGGCTCCAGAGTCGGGGCTCTCAGCACTTCTGTGCACAATGACGTTGATCATTACGGGTGTTGACCCTGGCAAGCTGAACTAAACCCCCAGGTTTTCCTCGGTCCGAGAATGGAGAGCAGGGGAGGGCTGTTAGCTACAGTGGGGAGGGAAGGAGCAGATGATGGTTAGAGCATCACATCAGGGTGGAATCCAGAGCTCGCAGCTGGAACCAGTGGCTGAAGTCAGGCGCGGAGCCCCAGCCCGCTCCAGAGGAGTGAGGGGAGGAAGGGGGGGCAAGTCCTCGAGGTTGAGAGGGGTGGCCAGAGCACCGCCCCTAGGAGGGGAGGGAGGGGTGGCGGGCTGGGGGCGGGGGTGCCCAGCTGCCATCCCCGCCGTCTCCCGGCCCCCACTCGCCGGCGCCCCAGTGGGAGGACGGCAGCTGCCCGCTCCCTCCTCCCCACACCCCCGCTACCTGCCCAGTCCCCGAAGCGAAGCGTGAGGAGGCTGCGAGCCAGCGGGGCCGAGCCCACAACTTTGCAGCCTCGGGGAGGGCGAGAGCCGGCGTGCAGGGCTCCTCTTGTCCGCGACCAGAGCTTGGTGAGTTCATTTCCCCACTGCTCTGCGGCGGTGCGGCGGCGGCGGCCGCGCGGGGGGCGGCTTCCCGGGCGTCCGGGAGGCGGTGGCCGAGAAGCCGGCGGCCGCCCGCGCTGCCTGCCTCGCTAGGGCTCCGGCTGTGCCGCCCGCCGCCGCGAGCGCGGCCGGCGCCAGTGCTAAACGGCCACCGGGCCGCCCCGGCGGTCTCCGTTGTCCCTTCTCCCGCACAGGGCCGGGGCTGCGGTGCGGCCGCCCGCCGTGCGCCCCTCACTCCCCGAGCCCATCCTTCGCCTTCCAGGCGCCGCGGCGCATCTGGAGGCTGCTCCCGCGGCCCCCCTGGCGACCAGCGTGGGGAAGACACTTGCTTCGCCGGATCCCGGGCCGCGGGCTCTCTAGGGTGGTCAGCGCCACCGCAGCCCCCAGGAGCCCCCAGCGACCACCCCCGGGCGTGCCCTGCGCTGAGCCCCTGCAGCGGAGAGAGACCCGCGGTCCCCACGGCGGGCGCGAGTCTCCTGGGGCACTGGCACCTGCAAAGGGGACTCCAAGGTGATCAGTCACCCAGTGGGGACGGGACAGCCTGGACGGAGGCCTAGTGGCATTCGCCCGTCCTGGGTGCAGCAGCCTTCCCAGAACTTTTCTCGCGCCTCGGGCTCGCCTGCTCCTTAGCCCCTGGAAAAGTTCTCGCGGGCGCCCGGAATCCTATTTTTCGGTGGCTTCCGAAGCTGGGCAGGAACAGGGGCTGTGGGGCGGGGTGGAATAAATTTGTGGTAGGGCTGCGCTCAGCGGCGGGGGTCGATCCCCTGGAAACCTAGCCAAGCATCCATGCCTGCGCCCAGGGAGAGCTTGTTGGCATCGAAGGGATTTCAGCGCCATCGGGGTTGTTTGGGTTTCTCGCTCCAGCGCGGAGTGGGGGGGGGGGATTTTAATTTCGTCGCCTCAAATGAAAACGCTCTTTGCCAAGAAATAGCTAGGGCAGCCAGCTTCGGAGAGATGGGCTGACAGGAAACGGCTGACACAGGGATTCCTGCTGCGCCCCCCATCCCACCCATCGCCTAAGTGCTTGTGGGAATGAATCGATTGTTGTCATTGATTTTTTCTAAAAAGCCAGGTGGCAGCGGCTGCGTGTGTGTACACACAGATACACACATACACAAACACAGATACCGAGGCACACACAGATTACACATACAAAATCACACACAAGGAACACCCCCCGCACACACACACAGCTCTTTGCGTTATGGGTAAGGTCCCTGAGTATTGCCCAATATGGGGGGGTGGCACGGAGAGAGGGGAGGTGAAACACTGCTTCCGGTAGGTCATTTCTATCTGCCCCCACCCCGATCTTCTTTCTCCTCCTAGGGGGTCTGAAGGAGGAATCCCAAACCTGGGCACGTCTCCACGGCCACAAAGAAGCAGAGCCCTAGGGGCTTCCCTGGTGGCGCAGTGGTTGAGAGTCCGCCTGCCATGCAGGGGACGCCGGTTCGTGCCCCGGTCCGGGAGGATCCCACATGCCGCGGAGCGGCTGGGCCCGAGGCGGCGGCAGTGAGAGGCCCGCGTACCGCAAAAAAAAAGAAAAAGAAAAAAAAAAAAGCAGAGCCCTAGGCAGCGCCCCCGCCCCCGCCCCGTCACCCCGCGCCGCTCCTCCACCCGCAGACACTTCCTACGGACTGAGAACAAGTCCCCACCTCGCCCTCCTTGTACCTGACCCCCGGGCCGTCAAGGCGCCGAAGTGCCTCAAAAACGGAGGAGGTGGGCACCAGAAGGTAGGGCTTGGCTCCCAGAGGCTGTCACGATCTCGGGGTCTCACGCCTGCTTGGTCACGGGTTAGGGAAGAGACGAGGGGTGATCTGAGGGACATGGATTTGCGTGGAGCAGGACGGACAGATAGCGCCGGGGAGCGCCCGAGGGAGCCCTCCAGACGCTGCAGTGAGTCTTCCTCTCCCCCGGGCCCCTTAGGAATGTAATCGAGGATGCTGGCCCTGAGGCTGCTCAACGTGGTGGCCCCCGCCTACTTCCTGTGCATCTCCCTGGTGACCTTCGTGCTGCAGCTCTTCCTCTTCCTGCCTAGTATGCGTGAGGACCCCTCGGCCGCCCGGCTCTTCTCACCTGCGCTGCTCCACGGGGCATTCTTCCTGTTCCTCTCAACCAACGCCCTGGGTAATTACGTCCTGGTCATCCAGAACTCCCCAGACGACCTGGACGCCTGCCAGGGGACCGCAGCCAGGAGGGCCCTGTGCCCTCCGCCCAGCGCCCACTTCTGCCGAGTGTGCGCCAGAGTCACCCTGAGGCACGACCATCACTGTTTCTTCACCGGCAACTGCATCGGGAGCAGGAACATGCGTAACTTCATCCTGTTCTGCCTCTACACCTCCCTGGCCTGCCTCTACTCCATGGTGGCCGGCGTGGCCTACATCTCCGCAGTCCTTTCCATGTCCTTCGCCCACCCGCTGGCCTTCCTCACGCTCCTTCCCACCTCCATCAGCCAGTTCTTCTCTGGTGAGTGGGCCCTGGCAGGCAGGTTGGGCCCTATGCAAAGACCTTCTGCCTCAACCCCAGGTTTGCCAGGTTTAGCAAATACAGGATGCCCAATTCAATTGTAATTTCAGATAAACAATGCATAACTATTTAATATAAGTATTTCCTGAATATTGCGGCGGACATACTTACACTAAAGTCTTTTAGTTATCTGTTTGAAATTCAGACTACTGGGCAGGGCTTCCCTGGTGGTGCAGTGGTTGAGGGTCCGCCTGCCGATGCAGGGGATGCGGGTTCGTGCCCCGGTCCGGGAAGATCCCACATGTCGCGGAGCGGCCGGGCCTCGGAGCCATGGCCGCTGAGCCTGCGCGTCCGGAGCCTGTGCTCCACAACGGGAGAGGCCACAGCAGTGAGAGGCCCGCGTACCGCAAAAAAAAAAAAACCAGACTAACTGGGCATATGCTGTATGTCAGCTGGCAACCTCCCTCCCCACATCCATCCTCATTCATCTTCTCCATGTTGCTCGCCACTGTCCATTTGCTTATAGAATTGTGGCAAACCAGGCAATACACCTGCCCTGTGCCAGGAGGGGCTGATTGCTGGCCATCCCTCCGTGCAGCCTGCGAGGTACCCGCATGCTATGTCCTTCCTCTGCCTGGGCCCCAATCCTGCTCACACATTCCTCCGAGGACTTTGCTCTCCAAAGGTCTTGCCGATCAACCACAGTAAGGTTGACCAGGGTGCTGGGCCAGTCCCAGCAGAAGGCTAACCCTCGCCCTCCTACCCACTATATTTGACCCCCTCCAGGTTGTTCTCCAGTCTGCAGATGGCTCAGAGCAAGGAGCATCCTGGTTGGAGATGCAGCCATATTTAATGGCTCCATCTTCACACCACAGAGCCATGGGACTGGTTTGGGATCTGACCCTCCAGGAGGCTCTCACACTTGCAGGAGCCAGGCATGTAGACCTTCACACTGGGGCTCAGCTATGCCCCCTGGTGAGGACTGTGCTTTATATAGCGTACCCCAAGGAGAGTGGGGTACCAGGCCCAGAGGGACCTGGTTCCTGGTGGCAGGAACCAGGCCTTGACACCGGTCAGGACCCACCCTACCTGGCCATGAAATCTGCCCCTACCTCATTTCCTTCACTCCACCTACCCCGGCCTTTGATTCTGACTGACTTGGCTCTTACAATTAGTAGCATGCACATATGGACACGTAGCTGTGCGTGTGTGATGTCATCTCCATTTCTCATGAAGAAACTGAGGCTCAGATGGGGTTAAATGGCTGCCCGGGATCTTACTACATCTGAGCAGCAGCCTCTGGCCTGCCTGCCAGGTCTTTAGACAACGCACAGCAGCAGAGGGAATACAGCATGTTTCACACCCCATTGACCTTTCAGGGGCAGAAAAGACAGAGTGCAGCTTCTTTCACCGAGAGCCCCAAATTGTCTTGATACGCCTGGGCTGGACATTCATAAAATTCGGCCCCACTCTGGGGGAAGCCATCGTTTTGGTCTTTGTTGGGGCCTCAGCCCAGTCCTCTGCAGGTGTAAAACTTAGTGCCATTTGGCAGTGGGAACACAGAGGCCCTGGAAGGACCCAGCTATGAGGGTTGCCTTGAGGGCTGGTGGTTGAGCTGGGCCCAGAACTCAGAGCTCTCCGACCTTCTGGATCCTGGCGCCAGCACAGGAGGCTGCTGGGACTGAAATAGCCAGGACGAGGGAGGGAAAGTGGGCGGGCTAGGCGGTAGAGTGTGAGCACAGGCAGGTGGAGAGATGAGGAGAGCCAGAGAGGCTGATTACACTTTCTTTTCCAAGTAGTTTCATCACATAAAAAAGCGGGTGCTTCCAAAGAGAGGATCTTGAAATGGTTTGATTTAAGCCTGGGCTTGAGGCCTGTCCATATGTGCTAGGTTTGGGTGGGAGACAGGAAAGTAAAGAAGACGAACCTCTTGCTTTGATCTGATGGGGGGACAGAGCCAGTCAGTGCCTATCCTGGGCCACAGATCCCTATTCCAGCAGAAAAATGAGCCCCACTATCTTTTACCTCCTCACCAGACCCACTAGGAAAAGGAGGACAAGGTTTCTTTTTCTTTTTCTTTTTATTATTTGGCTGCATTGGGTCTTAGCTGCGGCACGCAGGATCTTCATTGTCGCATGCGGGATCTTTTGTTGCGGTTCATGGGCCCTTCGCTGCGGCGCGCGAGCTTCTCTCTAGATGTGCTGCTCGGGATCCAGGGCGCACGGGCTCCGTAGTGGCGGTGCGGGGGCTCTCTAGTTGTCCCGCGGGCTCTAGAGTGCACGGGCTTAGTTGCCCCATGGCATGTGGGATCTTAGTTCCCCGACCAGGGATCAAACCCACATCCCCTGCACTGGAAGGCAGATTCCTAACCACTGGACCACCAGGGAAGTCCCGAGGCCATGATTTCTAATCTCCAACTCTCCCATCTCATCTTCCTCCTTTGCTGGCCTTTCATCTTTCTCCTTGGCAGCCCTTCTCTCGCCTGCCCTGACACACACCTCACCTGTTCAGCTTCTCCCTTCCTGTCCCTTCTCCCTCTCTTCTCAACCCAAATGGTTGAGGGCACCGCCCTCTCATCTGCTCCCGAGGCCAGGTGAACAGGAGGGTGTAAAAAGGGACAAGTCGTTTGCTAGACTGAGCTGTCCCCAACTGTGGTACTGCCCCTAAGGCAGATCTGCCATCAGAGCATGGGATGGCTGTGTGTGGGCCCCGTGAGCCAGAAGTGGGAGGGGTCTTCTGGTGGCTGTACCCACATGCCCTCCGTTGATGCCAGAGAGGAAGGAGACTGGCCAGTTAGATTTTAGAAGCTGTTCTTTCTTTTGGCTTTGTGGGACCAGTACAGGTTGTGTCACTTCTCTGAGCCTCATTCTTCTCATCTGGGAAATGGTGATGACACCATGTGACCTGTGTCGTGGCATTTGGAAAAGTATGCCAGTGTGGTGGGTGCCAGAAAGTCCAGTAGAAGGGAAAAGGGGTTAATATTTGTTGAGCACATATTATGTGCTAACCACTGTGCAGGTCTCATTTCATCCAGTCCTCAGGACAAGTTTGTGAGGTAGGTATTATTATATCATTTTTAAAGACTCAGCAACCAAAGGCTTAACAAGGTTAAGTTGCTTTGAAAGCACACAGCTAGTATGAGTCCAACCCAAGCTTTGGACTCAGAGCTGCTAGCCTCCAGAGCCCACATTCTTCCCACAATACTGCCTCTCTGAAGTTGCTTCTTGATGAACGAGCCACTTTGGGAGGGAGAGAGCTTCTTATCCCAGGATGTATATTAAAGATGCTGGGTGATGATCTGTCAAAGGTGCTATAGGTGCTTGGTGGAAAGCCAGGGTGGAGTGATTGGATGGTGTGACCCTTCAGGCCCATTAGGAAAATTCTGTGATTTTCTAAAAGAAGCAGAACTATTGTTAAATAGTTCAGAGGAGCTGAGGCAGCCAGGCTAGGCAGCTTCAAACACTCTGAGAGAAAGCATGTCCCCAGATTAGCCTTTTGTAGCTGCTGCAAGGGGCCGGGGAAAGGCCACAAGGTCTTTTCTGCATGCCTTGATTTAGCGCCAGAAAAAAGAGACTGTGGAAAACAGCTTCCATCGGCCCAGGCTTGTCCCTGAGGCTGAGGTGCAAGGCAGGCTTGCGCTTGACAGCTCTGATGTTTGCACATCCCAGCTTGAAGGCCATCTTTGCCTGTAGCATTCCTGTACCCCCAATGGCACCACGG